CTTCCTGTTGCTCACCACTTTAATTTACCTGTCTCTTATACACATCTAGATGTGTATAAGAGACAGGCACCTTCTTTTCTCAATGCGCACTACATATTGTCAATCACTATGGCTGCGCAATCTTTTTTATTTTGAAGCTGATACATTCATCTCTCATAAAATATCAAACATATTAATATTTTCCACCAAGAAAAGTTTCGAATTTAATGGAACATTTACATGACCTATAAAAGTATAGTATATTTCAACTTCAATTTTCATAAATTGGCCTAAATTCGCCCATTCTAATTTTAACAGCTATTAATTAATAAATGATTAAGGATTATAATAAACTAAAGCATTTTAGGGTTAACGAGGGTTAACTATTCGAAAAATGAATCCAAAATCTGAGTATTTTTCAGTTTTACGCTGACTTAGCTTTACAGTCGAACCAGTCAATCTTTAGACAAAATTATAATAAACACAGAAGTAATTTTAACATAAATATTTTACGGAATCTGTTCCTGAAATATACAAATAATAGCATACCAAAAGCCCGAAAAAATCTAATCAGGGGAACATTGTTCATTATAAAGATATTTAATGGGTTAAAATCAAACGTTTTATTGCACAACTGCTCAGTTGGAAGCGTATAAATGCATGTCGTTGCCAAGTTGTTGCTAACGAAAAAATGTGAATTACAGGGCAATACGCCCGCGCGCGTCAAAGGGATCTGTTGCCGAGTGATCTCCTTCTCAATAATACCTCCATGTTATAACTATATTATTATCCAGATTTTATACAAATACACTAAGATGGACCTAAAAGGATGATGGAAATTCCTCTTTTTCCAGCATCTTACCTTTGAAGCATCATAAGTGCGCCAAACCATGCGAGAAACACAGCAGAAGCACCACATGCCCATTCAACATGCTCATCAAAATGCACACGAAACGCTTGAGGAATTGCAAACAAGCTGAGGAATACGTACAACGACCACTCAGTTAGATTGTTGATGTCACTAAAATACTTCCATCTCTGCAAATAAGTAACAATAATATTCGTCAATATTTCAAATAACTATTAATATTTTATGGCCATAAAATGTATAATTATACAAATGCTGTATTTAAATTGTTTAAATTCATTCGATTTTTATTGCGGTTCAAAATACCAATAGATATACTTTTAAATAAAATTAATGAAAACAGAGACAGATAATACATTTACCTGATTCCACATTTGTACAACTTCTTTGACCATATTAATGATAGCAAAGAGAGCAATCAAAGCAATAGTGGTATGCTGCATACCACTGAGCTAAAAAGAAAAACATGGGATTAAAGCTATCAACACAAAATAATAATTATTTTAAAACTTCATATTATGTGTGTTTTTATCTATTTTATATTCCTTTTACTTCCAACGACTAAATAACTCGTCAATTACAGGATTGAACTAATAAGGCCCAGGGGTGGCGCCAGGGGCCCGGGGGGGGGGGGGGGGGCCGGGGCCCCCGTCGGGGATAGCTGCCCCCCCCCCCCCCCCACCTCCACAGTCAGGGAGAAAAAGCATAATTCTTCTGGGAGAAAACAAAATTATGTGTATTTTCTACATATTAGTAGACTCTAAAATCGATTAAATAAGCCTTTGAAATCCTTAAATTGTCAAAATATTCAGGGGCTTCGCCTCCTGGACGACTTTCGAAGCCTTATAATCAAAGCTCGACCACGCCCACTTTGCTTTCGTCGGGGGAAATCTGACCCTTCATCGGGGGCGTCGGCCCCCTCGTCGGCCCCCCCCCCCCTCTGTCAAATCCTGGCGCCACCGGACAAATAAAGTACATTATTAAACTAAAGAATAATGGAGCCTAGCATACTGTCACCAGGGTACCTGCGTGCACATGGTTGTTGTAGCGAATCCGTCTCAAAATCAGGAGTGCACATTTTCCATCCCTTTTGTGTTCGTGGTTTGTTTTAATGGCATTTTGGCCACCGTCTCACTTCAGTACTTGAATGGCTTGTTTGTTTATTTTATTTTTTATTTATTTTAAAAATTTCATTTATTAATGTTTTTAAATGTTTTTTTAAATATGATTCAAGGTCTGAATACTCCCAGCGCCTTGAGACGATATTATGGAAGCCACTCTACAAATATCCTACCATAAACCATGTTTCTGTCAATATATCATGAAGAGGCTATACTCTTATAACATCACAATTACAACGGTCTGTATTGTAAGCACTGCCATAACATGTGGTTAATGTTTAACTAGCACACACTAAGTAGTGAATCGAAAGAAACACATTATTTATTATTAAAGATTTTCAGGAAATATGTGCCTTTTTTGACTTACATTTTTTTCACTTTCTGTAACCTTGGTTCTAATGTAATGTGCTGGAAAATCGACGGAACATACGAAACATGTCAGAAAAACCAAGAAGATTGCGTATACAAACATATATGACATATGAAATTTTGAACCATATGTACTCCTGAAATATAAATATGACATTAATTTATTTTAGCAGAAGGAAATGATGTGAAGATTCTAACGACGGCCGGCAGTATAAATACTAAAATAAAAAATTGAATTAGAATCTTAAACCTAATGTTCTTAATTATGATGACAATTTAAATGTTTTTTCTGATTAAATCACAAAGTTAAAGTCAGGGTCCGGATGAAAAAAAATTGATATGTTGTAGCACTGATTTTTCTAAGACAGGAAAAAGTTGTCTGACGAAAAACTGGGGAACGGTGAATGAGATACAGATTTTTGAATATTTAAAAAATGGGTGAAAAAGGGGTGTAACTACCCTTTTTTACACCTTTTCCTACTGCCCACAAAAAAAACATATTTATTTTCATTCAGTTTTTGAGCAGTGACCTACAGAACGCTTTACAGTTAATGGAGATATTTATGACAAAATTCTTATTTCAATAAAATTGCTACACCGTCGCTGCGGTGTTTTCACTGGAATTTTAACACTACGTAAATGTACCCTACGGAAAGCTCGATTTTTGACAGTCGACCAAACAATCATGGTCGGAAAGCTGTCGGTGAATTTTTATGGAAACAACACTTATCCTGTTGACATTCTTAGCACAGAAATTCAGAAAAGTCAATCTAACCTGAATATAATTTTCTCTAAAAACGTAAATGACGTTTGGAAATGGCAATTCAGACAAAGTCTAATATACAAGGACGCCTTTTACATAAAAATTTATGACCTTCATTCTCAAACCAGATTTTCACTTTGTTAAACTTTATTTGACCATCAATTGATTTCCGTTCAGTAACTTATAATCCAATAATTTCAGTTTACACTAATCGAATTGAATTACTTCATCATCTATTCATGTACTTTGTGGTCTATAATAAAACAGTTTCAAAGGTGTCTGCACTGTAAATATATAGATATAATTATTATTAAATATTCTTGATTCCTCTGTCGTTATCTTACATAGTTATCAATGTTCCCTAACACCAATAATGAATTAGGACGTAAACCGGGATTACATTTATTTTTGGAAAGGTAAATGCATGACTATATCAATTTTATTTTTTCTCTACAAAAAAAAAAAACAAAACATATTAAAACAAAACAAAAAAAAAACCAAATAAATCGTAAAGTTTTCACCCTAACTGTACAGAAAGAAACTGCTGAGAAAGAACTGGTTGTGCAATGCCATTTAATTAGAAATTCTAAAACAATATAAAGATATGTGGCATTTATAATTTTTGTAATTAATTGCATGCAATATCATCATCCGTTCGTTATTCAGTTTTTCCTCCGCTTGACTACTGTATAATGTTTTGTTTAAGGTGCTAGGCAGCAAACTTGATTATTATTTAGTATGATTTTCCTGCATTAGGTTAGCTTAACTATAGCTTTATTATGTGTGTGCGTTTTAGTTAGTTGCATGAAAGTTAGAACTGCATGCATATTATGCTATAGGTCTCAGTGGTCTAATGGATATTATAATCGCCTTTACAGTTAGAGAGGTTGCAAGTTTGAATCTTACCAGAGACACATTTTTCGAATAACTGAAATACAGGAACTTTGCGTTGATTATTTGAGCACTGTTATTATTTATTTGTTATAACATATATATATATATATAAATATATATATATATTATATATATATGATATATATAATACATATATATGTATATATAATGTATATATATATATATATATAAGTATATATATATATATATATATATTTATATATATATACATACATGCATATATATACATATATACACATACATACATACACACACACATATATATCAAATAAAACTCAGGAACAAGGTATATATTTGCCAAATTTAATACAGAAAATTCACAAACGTTTTCGGCCATAGGCCTTCATCAGGTGGTCTTCATCACAC